TCAGAAGGGATTCCGCATTTCCAAATATTTTAGACAACCTGGCAATTTTTACAAAGCAGTTTAACCTTGGTACTAGGATCTGAAGGTGAATTCAAAGGATGACAGAGGGTTGGGACATTAATTCCGGCAATCAGACAATCTCTAGCATACTTATCTAGCTTCCCCCGAAAAAACGTCCAGTGGCTTGGACATGAAGCTGTCGAACAAAATCACGCATTCTGGTTCAGTTAAAGTTGCAGAACGTAAGATGCAGCTCTAACAGCTATCGCAATATCGTTGGAAGTAAAAAATCGAGTAATAGAATTAGCAGTTTTTCGTACGAAACTTGTGGGACATGACAAATCCTTCACAATTGAATAAGCGTTATGGCCAATTGTAGACAGGTAATGTGCAGTTGTCACTTCTCCTCGCAATTCATGCTTCATGAGCCACCAAAACTTATGCTACTCCAGAGATTACACAATTTCCTGTAGCGAACTTTCGAGGTGCAGAGTCCCGATATTTGGATTCAGTATGCACTTGGCTCAGACTACGACGCCAACTGTAGTATTTATATCATTTTGAGAAACGCAAGGTTCCATCCGAAGCTAAGGTCATAATAGAGGGAGCACCAACAAATTGTAATGTCGAAGTAAGTAATCTAATGTATACGGGAGCATAGGAATTTGCAACATAAATCCGTTAACTGGAACATTATAAACATTCACTGTACAAGGGCAGACATAAATGCGAAAAGTAAAGCAAACAAAAAAGAATAGACCATCAAATAGAGGGTAAATATACAGGAAAATATTGAATGAATGATACCGCTGACTTGACAAAATTCTTTCAACACAACCGTGCCTCACCTTGAAGTTTAACTCTCAAATGCTGCTGAATTATGCCAGCCAATATTCATTCATGCATACCACGTGGGCGGAGAAAATCGCCTAGGCAAGCGGGATGAGTCACATTCAACGGTACGGTTCGCCTGACGTCCAATGGAATGTTTCCAAATCTCGACCAGCAAAATACAGTTTACGGTCAGCATAACCAACTGTCTGTGTGCTAATCAAAGAATTGTGGTGAGCTCAGTTATCAGAATTTTAGCCAAAAAGTTGTAATTTAACGTTGGAAAAGGAGAAAATGTGAGTATATACAGAAAGTTGACTTTGGAAGATCGGATATAAGCAGTCCACTGTCTTCACCTCACTTGATCTGTGTACAAACTCATTATGAAATGATAGCGATTTCATCACAATAGTGCTCTGCTCAAAAATATTAATTCCAAAGTTGATATTATGCAAACTCCACATGTGCTACAGGCAAGAGTAACGGATATTTGCTAATAAGTCAAATCAGCATAGATAAGTAAATTAGCGGACTAGTTCCTAATAGGTTACCCTTCGATGATGCAAGTGAGTCTGCAAAATATGCTTTGCGTCGTTGCGTCGCAATATAAATAGGTGACATACATGATCAGGCAAGACGCTTAGTTCATTAAATCCAAATTTGAAGCCACGACGAATGAAGTTCCGCTCGTAGGAAGTTCTAAGATTGACTGAGCGTTTTCTACGTAGTTCTTCGGCTGAAGGCAAGCCCTGTCCTCTGCACTTTCATAACATGCAAGACAGTGGAGGATGATCCGCGCTAGATCACACTTAGATGTCAGTCATGGTGGTCCGCTACGGCTGACTCGCAAGAGTAAGATCGTGGGTTCGAAACCGGAAGGATTCGGCAAGTGCGCGCTACTGACGAGTCCCAATGGAACGAAACGATCGTCTAGCGCTTTCCTGGATGTGTGGTGGCTGTGCGCCTGTGTCTAACTGCGACGAATCTACACAAAAGCCCAATAAATTCCCCTACTTACAAATGATCTGAGTAAGTAAGGCTGCGCGAACTGATGACCTAGAAGTTTTCTGCGAAGTCTGTTTGCTTGTTGATGCTTCCTATGGCCGGAGAGTTAGCCTGCAGTATCAATCCTGTGCTTGTATCTAGTTAATCGCGTGTTAGGCTAAAGACAGGGGAGACGGATTGTTTCAAGTACTTAGCAGTGTCGCTTTTCTTCAGCTTTGTAATCAAAATATAAATGGGTAGCAATGTTAGTGCTGTTTCATTCAAAATACGAAGACGGTGAAGCTCTCTTTGTACATGTTTAAACAGGTGTACGGAAATCTTTCTTTCCCATGCTGAAATACCATTTATTTACATTTGTAGTGAAACTGTGCTAACGTGCGCTGCTCGTTCACCCCTCATCATTAAGCTACATAACTGAGACCATCCGAGTGCTAGCATAACAGGTGAGTAAATTCAACCCACAATCACCCACAAACATTGTACAGCGTGAAGGAAATCAGAGCATTTATCGCTATGTTACGAACCAGTGCCCTGGACCTTCCAAGTTAAGGAAGTTTCGATATCACCTGCAAGCCATCCCCACAAAGTGTTGAGGCATTACTAAAACCTGTGATTGTCATTAAGATGAGGAAATCATTGGCGTTGTATAATGATCAGTATTAAACGCGTTATTAGCAGTACAGTAGTAATTTGGTTGAGACCTAAGCATTGTTCAGCGCAGTGTGATACTACCAAGAACCAGACAAATATGCTGTGGTTGGGAAGCGATTAGGCAATGTTTGGAAGACAAGCCATTTTCCTGAACTATTTAGTGGAACTTCCTGTGTCAAAATAGTGAGTTTTGGACGCGGGCCGCTAAGAAATTAACTTAACATTTTTCGAAAAATGTGTCCTGTATAGTATCCAACTAATTCTCCTGGGTAGGTGAGAATCAGCGTAGACCAGGTAGTAGCAAGCTGGGAACTATGTAGTAAACAGGAGGGAATGCTGCGAGGACACATTCTTTCTAGAATGCGAAATCAGTAGCTTTAGCTACTGTTGATAAAAGTGGAGCTATCGGAGCCTACTGCTTGACAACTTGCTTCCACCTGGTAACCACCCTCTCGATGCGTATCACATGTTAGGTCGTTTTATCTGAATGTCTTCGATAAGACTTGACTTTCATTATTTCCCCGTTAGCACGACGTGGTGACTCAAGGCGACCAGCTTCATCCAGCATGGTACTACAACAATATGTGATGATCCACTTTCGTTCCAGTACCGACCGTCCACGGATAAACACTGTCGACGAATTGAGGACCCTCTGGTTACTCGCACCTATTGCTTTGTTTCTGGTGGTGTAAACGGGACTTGGAAACATGTGTTTCACCCATTCTGTCAAATATTCTTCACTTCGAAATATCACAAATACTTGTTCAGGTTACCACCAGATTGGCAAACTGTCTAAACCTTCCTTCTGTGATTCATGTTAGAAGATTAACTGGGTACGAGCTTTGTTTAGACGAAGGCACACCATTGCACTCAACATCGCTTCTACATCGTCATGAGACTTGTGAGCACAGAAGTGCTCTCACACCGCTCTTAGCCGAAGGTGAGCACATAATATATTCGCCGTAAATGCTATACGGATATTATGCAAATGCTCGCGATTACAATCCTCTACGCTAGCAATATGTTACCTAAGACTGTTTAGTTTGGTCCACTTATTGCGATGGCACCATACGTCAACTCCAACCCGCGGTTTCTGTAGCATCAAATAGATACCATCTAGGGCTGGAAAGCCTTGTGCAAGACGAAACAACCCCGCTACATGTACTTTTGAATTGCCTCAAACCGTCTGGTAATTTGATCCACCAGCCATTCCTTAATCATCGTTGTCTGAGGGGAATCAATGTGAGTCTTCGATGATAATGTCTACAAGCAGCTACTTGGATGTAAGCTGTGAACCTTATTCTCCAGATGAAGGCAAAACATATAAATAGACTATTCGATATCATTATGTATGGTTTGAACCGGTCCAAAACTCATGAGTTAAAGTGGGATTGAAAACAACCGATTGGTATAGTCGGTGGGCAATTATGGTCGTTGACACAAATGATTCATCATGATAACTGAATCAATGGGTGAAAGGCATAGAACTTACCGCTACTGGATCGATAATGGCGGTTCCCGAGATGTATCTAATGGGTCAAGGATTCATTTTAAGTGGTCGATATAAAGTCATTGCAAGCCTACGTGAAGATCCCAGATAGTTCAAAAATATCGTCTTACCTAAATCCCTGTCATTTGTGCGGCTAGGGGTGGTTTGACGAACGCTGCCTAAACCAGGTGCGTCCGTCGAAGCTCCTCCGAGTTACCTAGTCAGCACGATCAACTACACATTTGATAACCACTCTATCCATTCTGTATAAACAAGTAGTAGATTCGGCCACCTCTAAAGCCTCAGCAGTCAGCATTTACTTTACTGATTACAACAACAGCCTAATGCTCTCGACACGATAAAACTTGTTTTCCTGGTCCACATCCAGCACCGCAATCCTATCACCGAATCTTTTAGTGGAGCCCAGTATTCCATTGTCTTCCTAGGTGACGGTAAATGTGCATTTCGTGTTCCCATAACCTCGTGCGCAGTGCTATAGCGGTTACGCCTGTATGCACTTCCTTTGAACTAATCTTATAAACGCAACAAGCCGTTCTATCTACGGAGACTAAGTTGGGCAACTGCACCAGGGTCGAAAGGAGCATTTAAAGCAGTTGGAAAATTAACCTTAATATCTCTTCATTGCATGCCGTCCGTATGGCCTCTGTTCGCTCTTTGTAAGCAAATCAAAGGCGTAACACCATCATATTTATATGCATTGACGGAGTAGCAAAACAACTCGTCCAGTGAACGACTCCCCACATAGTCTGTGATGGTAGATGTGAAGAATTCACGGACGATATATACATTTTCGCTAAATGCCATTAAGGGTTTAGTCAACTGATTTCAAGGTCACCCTTCACAGTTGCAAGTCCGTTGACAGCAGCGCACACATCCAAGTCACCGATTTGGCCAGCAGCACATAGAATGTGGCTTCTCTAATGAGGCAAAAACACAGCAATCGAGTAAAAGCAATGTACTCGTACAGAGGAGAGAAATACTCTTGTGCTCGCTTATGGGCATAAAACAGTCAGTGTATACAGAGCCGTAAGGATTATAAGGCGGTTTATAATGGAACCAGCGTTACTGTAGAATCCACCCTAACCGAAACGCATAAATGAAACCTTAGATTCCTCCTGTCGCTCTTCAACTCGAGCTTCATCTGTGGACAAAAAGCACGGGGAATAACAGCACAAACGTGAAAATGCAAATGCACTAATGCATCGCATACTAAATTGAAATGAATAAACGCAAATGCAAAATTTATCGGCTAACAAATTTAATCGTTTGTGAGAACGCACGTGAATTTCGCTCCGTATGGTGTGAATTCCATCCGCCAACAACACTGACATGCGGTTTTAGGTGTGCAGGATGGTCTGTTCGTTGTGATGTTGCAACTGAATTATGTGGCTGCTGGACCAGTCTGTTTCGGCCGATTGCATCTGAAACCGATACACAACAATAGATCGATTCAAGTATCGAAGGAGGAAATACATCCAACCCTACTATAGCAACATACCGGTAGGTACAATATTTTGAAAGAAGAGAATAGCCGTTGCGCCGAACATCAATAACAGGTTGAGCATTTTCCGTTAGCTAGATACCGAGGGAGGCACCGACGAATATATAGTGTGACAAGGTGAGGGAAACAGGTGAACAAGCTGGTAAATCTTTTTAATGGTCACAATGTCGGCGGGGTGCGGAATGGTACCTTTTCTTCGCTGTTGAATGCATACGCAACAGGGGGCGAGTCAAAAGGGTGGCAACACAGCACTGTAGCCTCATCGGGTATAAGTGAGAATCGGGTGAAACGGTGCATAGCGAGCTAGTTGGTATCAAATTCAATAGCGCATAATAGAAACGAAAGGGTTATTGTTACTCATGTTCAGCCTATGTGGGGGGCCAAGGGCGTTGGCTTTCTTAGAGGAATGTTTGCGCTTAGAACGTTGTCATTGAGCCGTTCACAATCTGCCCTAGCTTTTTGCGTCTCTAATAGGAAATGGTATGTGTACCATTTGTTGTGAATCAGCTGTTTACTTAGACAATGCATCCCGTTTTAAAACATATTTAAAGTTAGCCTACTTCAAAACTTAAGAGTGACTAAGTTGGGTCAATAATTTGGATGACATATTTCCGCCGAGATTGTTTAATCATGATTTGAACGGAAACCAAGAGGTCAGGATATTAACAAACTGCATGGAGCATGCACCGAAGAACTCACTCCAGTAATATTTCTATATAATTAAAAATCAAACGATTGCTTTGGTATCCGTCAATGTCCTTGCACGGAAGGTCATTTCAAATTTTCAGCTGTTTGCTGACGATATCAAGATATGGCTCCGGATTCAGGTGCATGCTAATCAGAATTCACTTCATGATGATCTGGATATGGTAGGATAGTGGTCAACCCTAAATGTTTTACAGTTCAACGCGGACAAATGCAAGCTATTTTTTATACCACACCAGAGTACTTATTTCTACAAGCTAGGAATGCAAGTAGTGTAGCGATCATCAGTCGAAAGCGACCACGGCGTGCTTGTTTAGGATAACTTGGGTTGTTCCAAGTAATGCGCAAAGGCATTGGGAACTGGTAACCAGCTCGTCTCCTTGCTACGACGGGCTTTCGGACAGCTAGACACTAGTATTTTCAGACAGCTGATGAATGCGTATGTTCTTCCCATGTAGACTACGCAATCCAAGAATGGCAGCCATGGCTGAAGCACGACGTTAATACATTGGGTCGATCTCAACATCAGGCTTCTAAATACCTCATTGGACTGCGCCACCTTTCGTACGAGCGGAGGCTAAAACGTTTGGGATTATTCATCTGGGGGTATCGCCATTTACGAGGCGGGTTGATTTTGGCGTACTTGAGTTTACACAATCCAAATCACGCATGCCGCTCTTTATTGCAACCCAACAGTAACAACAAAATTAGAGGCCACTTCTTGAAATTAGCAGAACGACATAGCCGTCTGGCGTGCCGTAGAAATCTATTTACCTTTCATGTGTGTCAACCATGAAACTCCGTCACCAAATCGGTTGTTTCTGCACCCACGCCAGCCATATTTAAAAATGGATTGGAGGACGCACACTGCCACTTATATTTTGTTGCTTGACATTATGTTCCATCCTAGGCCCAGAAATAAAATGGATTGATTTTTTCCCCTATCTAAGCTATGGAAAGAGTCGGAGTGTAGTGCTGCTGTACTCAGTGGTTAGGGTTAATCCCGTTCCAACGAATGCTTCAGCGGCAATATTCCAAGACATGGTGGGTTAACACTTGACAAGCCTTCACCCTACAAAAAGTCCCATAATTCTGTTTAACAGCACTACGACGTGGTGAATGTGACTTGTCGTTAAATAAAGCAACTGCTCCTTGTTTATTCGAATCACATTTTTCACTCCATTTTTTCACTCCTTCAAAACCTTCTCATGCCGGAGGTCTGAATTAACACAACACCAAACGCAGCGCCAAATTAATGCATCCGGGCATGTATACTTTAGACCTACAACCATTATTATATAAATACGCACATAGATCTAGTAAATTTTTGCTAATTTAATAGCATGTCTGCACAATTGTCCATCAATCCTGTTTGCATTACTATGATCATGCCTATGCAGACTTGTCCGGCAGTGACGAGAATAAAAATTGTAATCAATCATTGTTTTATAAGTCCATTGTTTTGACAGCTGAACTACTAACTTGAATCTTTTCATTAGCGTTTTCTGATAACCCACCAGACTACGCAAAGGGGCTTGTAAAGCAGTGCTTCGTAACTCGTATGAAATCATTGTTCATTGTTCTTTGAAAACATGCACGTAGAAAGAGACAAATGAAACTTCTCAGTATGTGAACCAATAAGGGGAACGCAGCGAACGAAAAGAGTGGGCGTTAGCAGCCAATTGGAACTGTGATCCGAGAACAGAAACATCGACCACCAACAGCCAGTGGAATGACTGAAATGATGTGTTTACACAAATCCCAGTAACAGCGATAGCAGGAGGAAACAAATCCATAACTACGAGTATATTTTTTCTAGAAAGTTATGTTCAACAAGTGTCATATAATACCTCACTGCCTAATAATTACTTACCTAAGCGCTGTATATATTTTCTTGGTCAGATCCACATGAAAAAGCTGTAAAAATTTTCTGGATCTTTTGGTCGGTGTCTCACCACACTGTTCAAGAATTCCATGGCTTGTATTTCACATCTTGCATAAGTTCTAGTCATGCCATTGTTCAACATTTCATTAACATCTAATCCATTAGCATTCGGAACGACAGCACCTAGTGTATACCGTGACATCAGTTGATTCACACGGTTTCTCCATAACTGCGTTCCCCATTGAATATCGTACGTCACCGAAACCACACAACTTTTTCTGGTCTCCACCTTCTCCGTAGTCCCTGATTAGAGGCCGCAAATACGAGTTCCCATTTGAAAATTGCTTCTCCTTGCCCCATACAGCATGTTGTATTGCCACTCTATGATTGAACTTTTTAGTTGTACATTTGGGTGCTTGGTAGTCAGCAGGTCTAGCGTGGTTTCTACACTTCGACCCAATAGGGCTTCAACTCATGACTTCCCATCTGACGAGTTGGGATTCGGGGTAAATCAGTATTGCAACAGAATACGTACAATCCTCCAACTTTCCCTCCGCTTTCGACTTCAGCAATGTCCTTTCAGAGTATTGCTAAATCTTTCCACTTGGTCAATTTATTGTGGATGATAGGGTGTAGATTTCAAATGCTGGAACTCATTTCGTGCACAAAACTCAACAAGTTGGTAGAATGTAAACTGTGAACCGTTATCCTGCACGATTGCTTCTGATAGCCCGTGCTGACAGAAAATATGTCTTATAGCAAAGATTGTGCTGTTTGCGGACGAACTTCGCATTACGAAAAGGTCCGACCATTTACCGTTAGCTTCGACAATAATTAGAAAGAAAATTCCTTTGAACGTTCTTGCGAAAATCATGTGGATCCGCGAGCAGGGTGCTTCTGGATTACGCCAAAATTGCAATGTCGCCTGTATTGATAATTTGGAGGCACTGAAGCACTTAGAACAGGATCGACTAATGTCTTCAATCTGGCTATCCATCATGGGTCCAGAAAGTTAGCTGCGCGCGAGCGCCTTTATGCGGTCAATTGCTGGATAGCGATTAGGTAGTTGCCTTAGCACAAGTGGTCCAAGTAGTTAAGGAATGACGATACGATCTGTGAAAACAGTCAGGGTTTAACTTCAGACAAGAAAACTCGCCGTGTAAAAATACGGCATCAGAGCCAATTTTGGAAACCTCTTTGGCCAGCACTGAATTGTATAAGTTATCCGATCTTCAACAATGTCTCATGTTACGTCACTTGCTTAACGATCATCTCGTTTATCAGAAATTTGCTTACGGCGTCATGTACCATGCAGCTGACATCTGTTTTAGGTGGCGATTGAAACATCCTCAGGGCTCCTGGCTACCGGTGTCGATTAATCTAGGCTGGGTGTCCAGTTGCGCAATGGAATCAGTGGACAAATACCACACGTTAAAAGCATATCCCAAGAGCAGTCATCTGTTGCTGAAGTCGATTGACTGCATACACTGGAATACCCTACTTGGCTACAAAAGCTGCCAGGAGCGATTTGTGCTCAGTCACCAGCGTGAACCGTCGACCATATATTATCTTGTGAAATTTCTGAATGGCAAATATGACAGCCAACGCTTTTCCTTCAATCTGAACTTAGTTCTTCTCAAATGCAGTCAGCACACGTGTGGTGTGTGCCACTGAATTTTCGAATCCGTCTGGAAACCGATGTAAAATGACAGCAACAATTCCAGCGCTTAAAGCATCCGTATCCACGATAATTTCCAGATTCGGGTTATAATGTGTGATTTCAGTTTCTCGAATTTGTCTTGACACTGTACGGATTATTTCCATTTGACGTCTTACATGGTGATAAATTTAGGGATGACGTAAACGATGCATGTACGGTATAAATTCCCAGTAGGGACGAAACATTCTAAGGAACGATCGTAGGGTTGTGACTTCCGTTAGTACAGCTAATCGGCTTAACACCTCCATATTTTTGTGATCGGGTCGCTGGCTGTTATCGTTAACCACGAAACCCGTGTACAATCTTTTTGTCCTTTTGCATGTCTTTTACCAATTTGACATAACTGTGAAAACGAATACTGCTAGATCACGTATTTTGGCAGTTGAACTATTCACTGAGCTCGGTACTTTTGATGCAGAAGTTTCATCACTTCGTCTCAGTTCGATCGCTTATGAAACGTTTGTAACAAATTTACCAAGCTCAGAGAACATTTCAACTTCATTCGGAATAACTGTAGCTACAGCAATAAGCTTTTGCCCTAAACATGCGCATCGAACCACCTTAAATACTGCAAGCAACCACTTTGCTGCGCCTATACTTTGTTACGCGAAGTATACCCAGATGAGATAATGCTGCCTCTTAAAACATTGAATGGGACCTGGGAGGGATGTGCGGTATTGCATATATATATATATATATATATATATATATATATATATATATATATATATATATATATAGGCGGGAGAGCCTA